GTGAATTTTTCTGATTCTGGGCTGTATTTCTGTGGAGTCTACAAAAAGAGACACACAATTCTGGACTGTGCAGTGGAATTAATCATCAAAGGTAACACTTAAGTCATTTGTGAAATATTTACTGAAAGTTTCATCATATGTCCTTATCATCAGAACTTATTTCAATCATCGCGTTAAATGTAAGTTATGATAGCAGAATTCTGAAAACAGCCCAAAGACAAACAGGGAATTCATACGAATCACATTTAATCACTTCTGTGTTCTCTTTACAGGTAATAATGGAACCAATAAAAAGGCACATCCAGACAGTAGAGGTGAGTTTTTATTTACTACTTTCACATCACTTCAGTCATTCCAATGTCAGCCAAACAGAAAGTAGCCCGTTAAAATATTTTGTGTGTAAATATTTAGCGGAAAAAGCTGATGGAATCAGAGACCTGATGAGTGTGATCCTGGGAGCTCTGAGTGTTATCCTGACTGTGGTGGTCATTGTTCTGGCTGTAAGAATCAGGAGACTTCAGACGGGTATAGCCGACTGCTGCTAACACATTTCTTTCTATCAGAGTATGGATGAATCAACATGTTATGGCAACGGAAATAATTAACTTGTAGTTCTTTTGTCTTTCACTTTTAGTTTTGAATGAAAAACAGCCAAAAAGAAAGAAAGAGGTAAAGACATTTCTTCATAATTGTATGATCTGATTAAGATGTTGAGTTTCAACATTTTTATCTTTAAATAATTTCATGGCATAAAACATCAAGTTCAGAAAGGCATAATTAGTTCGGCTCCATCACATTTCTTAATAACTTTTTACCATAACATTCACACTAACCCGGATCTTCTTCTTTTTCATTTAAAAAATTGGATTGAAATAATATATGTTGTTCAATAGAACCAGACTACCCAGTTCGGTGTAGCCTCCAAAGCATAACCTTTAAATTAAAATGTGACTATTTTTTGATTGAACAATTTGATCTAAAATGTAATATCAGTACTGATGTACTGGTGTTAAAAATAACTCAAATCGATATTTTACCAAAGTTGTACTTTTGTCAGTCGTGTTGACAACATTCTGTCTTGTAATGCTGACTCAATCTCACTGTTTTTATATGTTGTATTTTCAATTTATCTTTGATTCATATATTTAGAATTTGATTTCTAAAGCTGTGCATCTTAACCGAAATGTGATTTTGTGCATAAAATAGTGTAAACGAGTAGTAGCGTGCGACAGATTTTAGTCTGGCGCATTCCATTACATGTGTGGTTCTGCTTGTATTGAAGCAGCTAAACTTTGTTCACAACTCTGAAAACAATAGTTTTGGATTCATGCGAGTTAACTTTCTGTTTTGCAGAACGCGGCCTCAGAGGATCTGAACTACGCCGCTGTACATTTCCAGGCCAAATCAAAGAGAGGCCGCAGGCCTGCAGCAGAGAGACAGCCGGAGCCACATGTCGTGTACGCTGCCACCAGATAGACGCAGGAAGCAGCAAAGACTGCAAATCAGAGCCGAACGCAGACCTTATCTCATTACTTTTGGCCTGTTCCTTTGTGTAAAAATGCCCCAAAACAGAAATAAACCAAACGATCTATGTTCAGATTCTTTACGTCGTGTTCATCCTTTAGCTTTACAGTCTGCTGCTGTGTCTGCGCAGCTTTCACAAAGAGAGTCATGTGGTCTGCTGTGAGGGCCATCAGAAAACACAGGAAGACCCAGCACCATGTGGTCTGAGCTCTCCTGAGGTGAAAACAGCCAGGCCTCTAAAGCCAAAGTTGTGTAGGAAACTGCAGCGGCCCACAGCCTCTGTCAGACACCAAAGGTGTGGCGGAGCAAAGACACCGCCTCTTTAAAAAAACTATCATCGGATCTTTAAAAATGTACAAATAAACGTCTTTTTTTTGGCAGTTAATTTACGTCTCAGTGTTTTTTTTGAGCAAGGCAATATTCTGACTCAGCTAAAATCTCTGATGGAAAAGCGGGTTAATAAAGTGAAAGCGGAGATGAAGGTGGGTCTGTGGTCGTGACGGGGGCGGGGGGGGTGAGAGTGAAAGGAGTGACTCCTCATCAGGGCTGCAGAGGAGTGCGATGGCCCCTCGGTTTGCTTGGAGCGCGGATTGTGTCCCCTGAGGTGAGGCGGTGTTTGAAGCGGCGGGCGCCTGGTGGTGAACAGCCTCTTCCTGTCCCTGTCGTGTTTTTCAGGACTTCCCTGTTTGCCGTTGCTTCCTCTTTGTGCCTCGAGCGCCCGCAGGCGTAAGCCCTCATCTTCAGAACATGTGATTCTGGTCTCTGTTTTGGGGAGGGCCTGAGGTATCGGGACAAACTCCGGCCGGATGTGGAGACCCATCCTTCTACCAAAGCACACAGCCCCAACATTCTGAGCGTCCGGCTGAGAAGACTTCAATGATCTCGGAAGAGTTCAGATTGTACTTAAAGATGATATTTGGTCCTGCATTACTGCCATGTAATCCTCAAAGTGTTGACAAGGACGGTTTCAGAGACTTTGTACAAAATGAAAGAAAAAAATAAATGCGATTATATGACAGAAGTGAAAAATGTAGAGCGTGCATTATTTAAAATCCAGTTTATTGTACATAAAAAGATAAGCAAGTAACTTTAATACCGTAGTTGTTTCCAAAGAACTATTGCAGCATAGAACTAAAAGATATACTAACTCTGTATAAAGAAATGAGAAGGGGGCCATTTTGGAGAGTCAACATAAATTTGTAATCTGTCTTCATTGTTGTTTTGCATGTTACTCCAGAGGTAAGGTTTGAAGGCCAGACTTTGTAAATCACAATATTTTGTTTTAATCCAGAAAGTTATAAGCAATACAAACACCCATAACAATCCTCTTGTCATATATGCATTATTCATGTGAGAGTATGAGATATATTACCTTCCCGTTTCCCTCCAATATTTATTTTATCATCGCCTATCCAGAGAGTAATCAGATTGTTTTTCACCTAATGATTTAATTGTTTCCCCCAAAAAGATAAATCATTGCTAATCATTTTAATTTTTAATTCTATTTATTGTCAGGTGTTTTCTTTGTCCTGTTTGGGAGGACATCCTTTTTCTTATATGGGCTCTGCTCAGTTTTCGCATGTCTGGCTTCCAGTCGTTCACATGAATATCTGATTAAAAGTTTTATGTGACG